TTATAAGAATTTACATCGAATGCTACTTCAAATCATGTCTCAATTTCCTATATGATTTTTCATAGGATCCTATATAGTTTCTTACATGACACATAGGATTTTATGTGGATTTTAATATATGAATTTATGTGAGATCCTATATAAGATCCTATATGAGAGTTTTCAGTAGGGGTCTTCCAGTGTGAAATGATGTTGTCTAATCGACTCTTTTTATCGAATTAGAAATCGAATAGATGGTCTAAGACATCAATTAGTATACTAATTTCTCACCTGGGGGGGGGGGTACTACCGAAATCAGGATTATAGACGTCTTATAGAGTTCCTATAATAATTTTGTAATTGACAAACAGACTTCTTAGAAGTCCACTTTTACATTGCTTATTTTCATTAATGACTATACAATACTAATATTAAATATAAGTGGTATAGATGGGAAACTCACTCTGCTAAAAATTTTTGCAGATTTATAATTCGACGTCAGACGATTCGGACACGTGACAATTATTTGGCGCGAAAATTCGATTAAACAAAAATTAGATGTAATGTAAATTATCAGATATATTAAATATATATTTAAATTTAACTATACTGTTTTTTAGAAATGTTTACATATGACCAAAATGTTTTAGAATCATTGTTAATGTTATTTTCAATTGTTGCTGTATATTTTCGAAATTCATATCTAATGTTTTTCTTCATGGCGTTAGATATCATTTATATATCATATTAAAATTGTGTGTAGCAATATTTACGTTTTTTATTTTTTTAACATTTTGTTTTTAGTTTGGATATCATTGATAATGGATTTTGTAAACCAAGACGGGATATAATGAAATTTTTTTATTAATATTAAAAATAGAAACGCATTGTTGAAAAATGTTATTTAAATTGTAGCAAAATATTTCACATCCCAAGTAGAAATGTGCGAATGGCATAGTACTGACCCAACACTGCCAGTCAGTATAATAGTACTGACTGCCGTACTGGGCCAGTAGTGGACCAACCCTGGCTGATAACGCTGTCCAGTACTGATTTTGTCCCGCTCACCAGTACTAACGTAGTACTAGAATAATACTGGCAAAGTACTCATCCGGACTTAAAATCTCACTTTTTTACAAAATGCTAAAACACGCTTTCCAATGCAAATTTCATCCTTATTAGCTTATTACTCCCATTTTTACCACGAACAGGTAATGTGAAGCCAATAATAGTTACTGTTATTTAGAATATATAAAATATTATTAACAATAAATAATTAAAATAATAATTATCATTTATATTAATTAAATTATTTTATTTTTAATAAATTATTTTACAAAAAATAATTTGTGTTGTAAATTTTTTTATTTTTTTAAATTCATAATATTTAATTTACATAGTACTGATTCGGTGTATTAGTCAGTACACTGCCAGTACTGAAAGTCAATACCGACAGCCAGTATTGGATCAGTACCATGCCGGTGTTTAATTACGGCGAGCTACGGATATTTCTACTTGGGATTTATTAATGACATTATTACACTCATACATTGTTGGCCAGTCAATTTCTCATAATAAACAATTCAACAATAAAGTTGGTCTAATCTTGCCTTCCGAATGTTATACTTTTTAACGTTCATATCGTAGTTAACTGCTATTAATACACTCCTCCCGGTCGATTAATTATATAATGCCTATAAGCCTTAGATTGTGATAAACTAAGTATTTACACCTGGAGTATTTTAATAAATGCGAAAAAAGTAATTTTTAATTTTATACTTATAAGTTAGGTGCGTATGTTGGTTTGTTGACGAACTGTAATCACTGATGGAATCCTGTGACGGTATTGAATCTTGAGATTCATTTCCCCTTTTGCTCTCCTCTCTTCTATCTTTTGTTTTGCTTGTAAGTATTCTCTCTGTTGAAGCTCGGTTCGGTCTTAAAGTATTCTATTGGAGAAACTGTTCGCGTATAATTTTGGGAAATCGTGATTAAAAATGACCTTGAGTAATCTTGCATCACGTCAGGATTTTTTTCTAACCTCCAAAAACCTGTCGGATTTTGAGAGGTAGGCTATTTTTTTAAAAAATTGATAGATTTACTTTAAACTTGGTATCTAGGGGTTTTTTGGGTCGCTGATGACGAATTTGAAGTTAGATTTTCGAAATTCAAAATGGCGGCTCCAATATGGCGGACGAATTTTGTAAAAATTGATGGATTTACTTCAAACTTGGTATCTAGGGGTTTTTTGGGTCACTGATTAAGAATCTATACGAATGGCTACTCCGAAATGTTTTTTGGTAGACTGTTATGAAGCGGGAACTGTAACTTTTTGTTTTGTAATGAACCAGTTTACTATTCTCAAGAACTGACAGTTAGGTCTCATTGCTTCGTAAAGATCAATTTGGCAAAAGAATTTGAGCGTCGTTATCAAGGAAGATGGGATGTAAATATGATGGCCGACTACTGTTGGATGCTGAAAAGGGATATTGTACTTGGAGGCACCAATTTGAAAAGAAAACCATTACACAGATCCTTTGAGGACAAAAGAGTGCGCTACCATAAAAAGACGTGAATACCTTACTTATGTATATAAGAATTTCCATTTCTAGTTTTGAAAATCTAACTTCAGATTCGTAATCAGCGACCCAAAAAACCCCTAGATACCAAGTTTGAAGTCAATCCATCAATTTTTACAAAATTCGTCCGCCATATTGGAGCCGCCATTTAAAATTTTGAAAATCTAACTTTAGATTCGTAATCAGCGACCCAAAAAACCCCTAGATACCAAGTTTGAAGTAAATCCATCAATTTTTACAAAATTCGTCCGCCATATTGGAGTCGCCATTTTGAATTTTGAAAATCTAACTTCAAATTCGTCATGAGCGACCCAAAAAACCCCTAGATACCAAGTTTGAAGTAAATCCATCAATTTTTAAAAAAAATAGCCTACCTCTCAAAATCCGACAGGTTTTTGGAGGTTAGAAAAAAATCCTGACGTGATGGAGCAAAACGGACTTCGGATTCGTGTTCAGCGCGTCAAAATACATAGGAAATGACTAGTCTGGTCTGCCGCGCACGACACTTTTTTTTGTGGGGCTGTGTAAGTAACTGCATGGTTAGGTGATAAAGCTCAAAAACATTTTTTAAATCTAACATTAGAAATCCATTAAGCTTTTATCGCGCAAGATATATGGTAGTACCCCATGTCGCACGGAATATTGCTTGAACCCAAGCAGCACGGTATATTCCCTGAATATCCGTTGAATACCACAGTGGAATATTCTCAGGATCTTTTAGGAAAATCAAAATGTCCGCATCATGGGAATATTCCATAGTGACATTCAGGGTATATTCCAGTGACATTGAGGGAATATTCCTCGGTGACATTCATGGAATATTCCAGTTACATTAAGGGGATATTCAGGTGATATTGTGGAAATATTCCAGTGATATTGAAAGAATATTCCACGGTTACATTGAATCTTTTTTTTATGTGTTTTTAATCTTCCTGCTTATTCAAATAACAATTTATAATATATTTCTATTATTTCAACACTTAAAAAAAAATTCAATATAACCGTGGAATATTCCCTCAATATCACTGGAATATTCCTTTAATATTACCCTCAATGTCACTGTGGAATATTCCCAAGATGCGGACATTTTGATTTTCCTGGAAGATCATGGGAATTCATGGGTGGATCACGGTGGTATTCATGGGATATTCAGGGGATATACCGTGCTGCTTTGAATGTCAAAGTGATATCAAGCGAAAATATTCTTGTGACATTCAGGCGATATCATAATGTCTGCTTCACGAGGACATTCCACGGTGATATTCCTGTGACATTCGTATGATACTGAGGGAATATTCCCGTAAAATTCGTGTGATATTGTGGGGATATCCCTGTGATATTGAGCGGAATATTCCTGAGATATTGAGAGAATATTCCTCTAATTTATGAAATTCTAAAATGTTGTTTGTTTTGATTGTTTTGAATATTTGATATCACCGTGACATTCAAGCCATATTCCGTGGTACTTGGGAAATAAAATTGTGACGATTTAACTAATTACTCAATTTTTTAAACTTATATTTTCACAATCACTGACCCATTTTAAATCTAAAATATAATTTTTTTATTTTTCACAAACATATCTAGATGACATTACCTTAATGTGTATTTTTAACACTTTAGAAATATTTATTTTTGACAATTTTACAATTTAGCTAAATTATATTTTAAAAATATTTTATAATAAAAAATTCTTCTTCAATTCTTTCATTTTACAAATATTTAAAATTAATATTTCAGTAATTCTTTTAATTCTTCTATTTGCTGAACATTTCGCTCAAATGTTCATACAATCAATACAGTAATATTTAACATAGAGGAATATTTCTCTGTTTGCATCAACATTTCATGGAATATTTCAAATCTTTCAATGAAATGTTTAGTAAATTAATGCTGGAAACTTGTTCAATTTTGCGAGCTTTGCATTGCAAATTTAATGCACACTTTTCCCAAAATATGATGCTATAGCTGGTGAAAGTTCTCGAGATGACTTAACATACAAGCTAGTATGGACTAATCAATTCGGGACCTGGGTGTCATAGAAAATTACTATTCTTAATATTATTCTTAGCTTACAGTTATCTTATAGTAACTTAACATAAAGTGTATAGTAACCTTGCAGTACTGACGTCCTATGGAAGAATTTACATATAAATACCAATGTTTTTATTGTTGTTTGTGTAAGTTCTTCCTTAGTACGGTAGAGTAAGCTTACTATTATTTTACCATGTACAATTTTCCAGAGATCCCGAAAACTCTTGAGTAACGAGTTTCAAAACATATTAATGCAAAAGAGCATCAATATCGACTTGTTGCCTTTAACAGCTATTTTGTGTTAATTTGCACTTTTTTACACAACTTTACTCAAATTAATAGGTATACGTTTCCTAGTTGGGTCATTCACATTACACATTTCTATAATCATGTATATTTTTATTAAAGGGAAAACATGGTAGTGAATTTACTGAGCCTCAATCACCTTGCATTTGTTCTAAAACACGTCGAAATTCATTAGTTAAAAGAAAGGGATCATTTGATAATCTTAAGAAGTTTCATAAATGTCGTGAAAAGTTAAGTACTGATCAAGGCCGACCAGTTACAATTGAGACAAGAAGTAGAAGTCTTTTTTCTTCTACATTAAGTATTTTTAGAAAGAAAGAACGAAAGAAAAATTTTGAAGCTACTTCAAAGAATGAAGAGAATAACGAAAAAGTAACGTATTCTACTTTAAATTGCTTAAAAGATAAAGAACTATCTTCTAAATTGGACGAAAATTCAACAGACAACCAAATTAAAATTCAATATTGTTCTACTAAATTTAATGAAAGTGAAAAAGTTTTACCTTCAGAAAGCATATCAATGCCTATAGAAAGTCCAACACAGCTGTTAGAAGAATATGATTTACAGCATAGATTAGATAAAAATTATAATACCACTGAAAATTCTAATATAAGTATTAAAGTTGATACTCACTGCCGCATGAAATATTCTCCTAAATATGTAGGACAAGAAGCATCAAATAATTTGGAAATATCAGCGCCCACTAGTAATGAGATAGAATGTAAAGAACATACAAATCCTGATTGCGATGACCACAACTTTGTTCTTAATTTTGGTTCTGCAAAGAGAGGTAACTTGAGAGTTAAAAGAAGATGTAAAGAAAATCAAGAAAGAATAGATATATCATCAGAAGATAGTATTGAATCTGTTTACGCTAGTTGTCAAAAAATTCAAAGAAGGAAGCATCTTATTCATGAGCAAGATCAAATGTCATTACAGTTTCTAAATCAAATGCAAAAAGAACGCAATGAATTAGAATTAGAGCATAATAGTTCTGAATCTGAAAAAGATTCAGAAATTGAGTTTATAAAACAAAAATCAGCAAGATGTATTGAAGGCGCTTCTGATGAAGGGAGAAGTTTATTTTATGACGAAAGCTTTGAAGAAGACTATTGTGTACTGCCTGCAACTATAGTAAAAGAGAATGACAAATGTTTTAATATGTTACCTACTAGAGGAAGACAACTAGAATTGAGGTATGTTATGTTAATAATTCAAGATGTTGCTTAAGTAGCATGTAAAGTCTTACTATTAAAATAAAGGTTATTAAAAAGGCTTGATTGTTACTACTACCACTTTTTGAATTTTTGATCTGACATATATGAGGACTGACATTTTTAATTTTTACTTCATATTTATTGTAAACAGAAGGGCCAACCTTCTTAGTTATAGCAAGTTAGCAATTGAGTCGGTGAATATAATATAAACTTTATAATTATAAATTTCGTTCTGCATAGTTATTAAATAGGAATGGTCAACAATTTAAAAACATTTCATTTATCTATAACTCTAATTTTTTAACTGTTATTTCCTTATAAAACAAGATAAATTGTAAAGACAAGTTTCAAATACTTCCCCTTCGGAGGAGGCAATATATAGAAATTAAAAACTTTTATTTCAGAACAGTACCAATTGAGAGACCTCGATCGGCGACACCAATTAATCCAACACTGCTTGATAATTTCGTAATGCACACATCTTTGGACGAACCATGCACCGAAAAGATGAAAATATTTTTACCAAAAGCAGAACATTGTAAGACAAAAAGTCATCGTAAGATGTCTGCTAACACTTTTATTGAATTTGCGGGTAAAGTTCAGGATAATGTTCAGAAAAATATAAATAAGAATTCAAGGTCACCATCGATACCATTAAAGTTACTCAATGCTCAACCCAGTAATTGGATTAATTTTGATGAGATTCCAGAAAAACGAAGAATTCCAAAACGAATTCAGACAATTCCTCAAGCAGAAGAAGAAGACAAAATTAAAACTTTCAATTATGTGCAACCTGAAGAATGCAGGTTTGTTTATTTTATTTGCGACATAATTTTAAAGGGAAAAAACTCGTGTAAACAAACATTTTTTAATAATTTATATAATTTTTATAATTTTGTATATTTATATTTTTTGGTTTTGGTTGAGATTTGAGACTAGTAGGCTGCACGGTGTAAAACAAAAGATTTGACTTTAAACGCCTGTAACGCCACTATCTTGCAAAATTTTTAATTTAAAAAAATTACATAGCTTATATTGTACACTTTATGGTATGCTTTAATTCAATTTAATAAACTTCACCACTTTTTTGTACGAAAATGTTAAAAAAACGTGCATTTACACGAGTTTCCCTCCTCAATAAAAGTAGTAAATTAGGGTAGGGGAACATCGTCAGGATCCGGTCAAACGACTTAATCCCAAATTTTTGGATAGATGAATAATGTGGTAACAATATTTCATTACGATCATGTTTTACTCTGGTAAAATATAAGCTAATCTGAAACAAGCAGAGAAATCCGTAATTTATATGTGCAAAATTGTATTGTAGTCCAAATTGATTCAGAATTTATAAAATCCGCAATCAGTGAGAAACAATTAGGATTCAGTAGAGTTAAAAATCTTAACCCAAAATACAAATTTGGTATTAATTCTCAACAATTCACATTTGAGAAGGTCACATTCTCCTCGCTTGTTCCAGACTGTTGCGGATTTCTTACACACAAATTTTGAATTATTCAGGACACATTTATGAATTCCTAAATTTAGCGGAAAAAAAATTTATTAATTTTTTGAATTTGAAGATTCTTTTCACGTTCATTTTTTTTAATTGAGCCTTGCTTATTTTTACTTGGAAACTTAACGAGAAATTTTTCGAAACAAATTTGAGGGAACTGGGAATTGAACCCTGGTTCAATGGACGCTAACCAAATACCCTACCAAAAAAAATCTTGCCCTTAACCCTAAACTCATAAAATCAGTTTAGGGTTAAGGGCAAGATTTTTTTCTCTCTAATAGTCGGTTGTTTAGCTTGTCGGTTAGGGTATTTGGTTAGTGTTAATCGAACCCGGGTTCAATTCTCATTTCCCTTAAATTTGTTTCGAAAAATTTCTCGTTAAGTTTCCAAGTAAAAATAAGCAGGGCTCAATTAATAAAAATGAACGTCAAATGAATCTTCAAATTCAAAAAATAAATAACTTTTTTTTCTAAATTTAAGAAGTATTCTTGAAAAATTGCAGCAAGCTTCCTGAAGGCTTGCAGCAACCTTTTAACAAGATTGCAACATTTCTTCTGCAACATTTCATAGGAAACTTGCAGTAATCTTTCATGACAAGCTTACAACAATTTTTCATGGAAAGCTTGCTATGGGTAGGATATATTGCTATTTTAGGCAAGCTTGACAATCTTACAGGGTAATTTGCGGCAAACTTCCGTACTTTCTGGGTACCTAGACGTTCCCCTATTAAAAAACCTTATATAGGATCCGATAAAATTTCCCAAAAAAAAACTATATAAAATCATTGAATTTTATAGATTCGTATAGGAAAGTGAAACAGGATTTAATGTAGGAAATGACATAGGATCTATCAAATATACTTCCATTTGAAAAATCATGTATATTCCTGTGTGATTTCCTTTAAATTTACTCTCACATTATCTTATGTCAATTCCCCATGTCAATTCCTTATAAATTTCCAATGAAATTTTCTGTATAAAAACATACAAAAATTCATAACAATAATCTTAATTAAGATATTCTTATGTCAAATCCCATATTGTATCCTAGGTGAAATTTTATTTTGCTTATATGGATAAAAAATTCCTTGGAAAAATCCTATGTCGAATCTCATATGAAAACCCGTGTAAACATATGATTTCACATGGATTTATATAAAGGAAACAATATAAGATTTCATATGGTAATTTTCAGTTGAATATTTCATGCAGACGGCAGTTTTCAAAAATTAAAAATTATTTAATTAAAAATCAAATAATACACTGGAAACTCCAACCATTGCAGCGCGCGAGTATTATGTGCAATGGATGGAGGTTACCCTTGACGTCAAGGTTATGTCAAAAAGTAGAAACACTCAGGGCCGTGCATATAGTCTAAGATCCCACTGCAAGATTTCTACACTCATCTCTTTTATGGATGAAATTGATTTGAAATGAAAGATTTTTTTATCCTGTTTCCGAAAAGCATAGGGTGCCTAACCTTTTATGGTCCATTTTTTTGATACAATAAAAATTTCTGTGAAAATTTGTTGAAATGTTTCACTCATAAGTTTTATAGATGAAACTTGTATTAATGGAAAGAACATGAAAAAAATAAGAAATAAATGATAGGTTGCCTCATTTCCAATGGTCTCGTTTCCTGGCAGCCACTTAAAAATTTCCCTCTTTCTGTTGAAATATTTCATTTATAACTTTTATGAAAAAATCCACCACCAATGTAAAGATTGATCATTTTTCTACACGATAAGAGTAAGTTGCCTAAAAGAATATGGTCCAGAAAATTAGTTGCCACATATTAAAAATTAATAAATTTATTTGAAAGGTGAGAAAAACCGCGCAACAAGATGACACGAACGCTGTTGTTTTGTTTCTTTGACGTATATAAATAATAAAATAATTCGTTGACAATTCATGAAATGATTACCGAAAATATTAATCAGCAATTACCACTTTTAAATAAAATTTAATAATTATAAATTTAATATGTCTTTGCATTTAGTAATATGCAAGACTTTTTAAAATAATTACAAACGACAATATATGGATTTTATTATCGCAATTTAATATGATTCTTTAATTATAAACAGTTTTGCTTTTTTTATTATTGAAAAACAATTTGTTTTTTATTTGAGTATTATATACGTTCATTTTGCATTATTCATTATCTTCTGACAAATTTTTAATATCAAATAACCTCTACGTATCAACAATTTATGATACGTTCGTCTTTTGTCACCTGTTTTACGTATATATTTTGCGCAATTTCTTCTCAACTTTCGAATAAATTTTTCAATTTTAATATGTGGCAACTAATTTTCTGGACCATATTCTTTTAGGCAACCTACTCTTATCGTGTAGAAAAATGATCAATCTTTACATTGGTGGTGGATTTTTTCATAAAAGTTATGAATGAAATATTTCAACAGAAAGTGGGAAATTTTCAAGTGGCTGCAAGGAAACGAGACCATTGGAAATGAGGCAACCTATCATTTATTTCTTATTTTTTTCATGTTCTTTCCATTAATACAAGTTTCATCCATAAAACTTATGAGTGAAACATTTCAACAAATTTTCACAGAAATTTTTATTGTATCAAAAAAATGGACCATAAAAGGTTAGGCACCCTATGCGTTTCGGAAACAGGATAAAAAAATCTTTCATTTCAAATCAATTTCATCCATAAAAGAGATGAGTGTAGAAATCTTGCAGTGGGATCTCCTACTAATATTATATACTTATGTATGGGATATATGTTCGAATAAAAATTGAGATTAATTTAATTCTTTATAAAGTAGAAAAATATAAATATAATTATGTACATTTAAGTTATAATAATGCAGTTTATAATATCGATGACTCCGATCGATTGTTTAAATTAGAAAAAAGGAAAAACAAATTGGGTCTAAAAGAACACGTAACTGTGACGTTACTGCTTTTTCTTGACTGAAGCCATTATTTACCCTCTTGACTCTTCTTGACGCTGCCCTCCAAGTTTTTGTAAACAACTGCAATGGTCAGAGATGCAATAGTTATAGGTTCCAGTGTATTACTGCAATTCAACTGAAAAGAAAAAAATTTGTGATTTGCAGAGTTAGAGTCTCAACTTTTATAGTATTCAAGACTGATTTCAACTGTGAGAGACAAAATATTATCACCATGTGGCGACGTAAGTGTGGAACTATAATGATTTACATCTATTTTGAAATTACCCATATAATTTCCCATACAATTTCCTATGTGCATGTAGGAAATTATATGGGAAATTTCAATATAGATGTAGATCGTATAGACATATAATTTCATATATATATGTTACGGTAAAAGCCCGAAGTTGGTAAATGTGGACATTTACTGGTTAATGTGCAGAATTACCAATGCAGTTGGTAAAAGTGGGAATTGTCTGTTTTAAATTAAAAATTTCGTACATTTACCAAGTAAATTGGTAATTGTGCACAATCACCAACAGAAATTGGAAAATGTACGAAATGTCTAAATTGAATCAAAGATTTCTCACTCGTACCAACTACCTTGGTAAATGTAGATAGTTACCACAAAAAGGGGTAAATAGAAGTGCCGGACATATTGAAGGTTTAAAATTTTGTCTGCTATTATTTATATTATAACTTTAATCATTATTGACATTTACAAAAAAATAAATTGGAAAAGTTTTATTTATTTATTGGAGCAAGGACCACTTCCGTGACACTAAAATTTTTTTTTCACTTCGGAAATTACAATTTCTTCACTCATTTTTACAGGCAAAATTTAAAATATACTCGCAATTTCACTGTCGAAAGCGAACTAAACGAAATACTGAGGTTAGCAGAATAAATATTCTATTCTAATTATTCTGTTTCCTTTATAGGCATTTGATTACTATTTAATTGAAATATAAACAAAACAAACTATCTACATTTACCAAGGTAGTTGGTACGAGTGAGAAATCTTTGATTCAATTTAGACATTTCGTACATTTTCCAATTTCTGTTGGTGATTGTGCACAATTACCAATTTACTTGGTAAATGTACGAAATTTTTAATTTAAAACAGACATTTCTCACTTTTACCAACTGCATTGGTAATTGTGCACATTAACCAGTAAATGTGCACATTTACCAACTTCGGGCTTTTACCGTAACATATATATATATATATATATATATATATATATATATATATATATATATATATATATATATATATATATGTAGGAAATTATATGGGTAATTTCAATACAGATGTAATCATTATAGTTCCACTATTTACGCCACCAGATGGTAATATTTTGACTCAC